TGATTTCGCTCCAGGAGCTCTCACACTTGGAGCCAGAGAGCTTCTTTCTATCATCATTGACTTAACCCCTGACACCGGAAACGTTGCTGAGTGCGATAGGACTGGTCTGGGAGGCTTCACGGGCTGCGTTGCGGCTTGATTAGTTGGTGGTTCTGGTGACATTGGAGAGCTCGGAGTTGAGGTTCCGCTGTGACTGCTTGAAACATCTGTGCGTTCGGATGTTAATTCCCTGATTGCGCCTTTCTTCTTCTTCTTGTTACGCCGTCTTTTCTTGTCTTTCGCAGTCTTTACTGACAGATTCACAGCTTCTGATGCTTCTTCGTGAGGAGAAGAAACAGAAGCAATTGGCTTTACGCTGTTCTTGGAATCCTCATCTTTGCTGCCGTTATTGGCGAACCCTTGCAAGGTCTCGCTGCTTATTGATCTTAGAATAGAATCCATTTCAGGGGAGATTGTGATCGTAGATGGCTTCTCAACTTTTCTAACCGCAATGTGGCTACAGTTGTTTCTCTTATTGGTCTCCACGACAAAGTGGTCATTGAAGCAAAATATCAGAATGAGTAAAGCAGCAGCGATAAGAACAGCGATTGAAAACTTCTTCGTCCGTACCCAAAAGACTGTTTTCCTGCAAAGATTAAGCATCAAAACAGGAGCTGTCGCCTTCATAGGTACTGCAAGAACAGCAATTCCAGATGACCAAGAGAGCTCGAGATCGGGATCAGTCTGGTAGAAAAGGAGAAACTTGATGGAATCCCCTGGTTCGAATGAAAAGCCTTCACACTGATGGTGGAACATAAAACCATTTCCTCCACAATGTTTCCTTGAAACCAAAATATTCAACTCTCCTGTGTCCTTCTTACCATACAGCTCTTTAGACAAAGGTTTGTAACAAGCCGTGTCTCTGATGTTAAGAGGGCTTAGCAGTTCTGGCTGAAACTCTATAATGTGAACAGGCCTAAGAGATAGCCACACAACACTAGATAGATTGTTACTCATCAGAACAGGGTTACTACTCCATGATTTGTTGGGACAAGACAAGCCAAAGAAGGGGACAATTGGATCAAACTGATTCTCTAATCCTAAAGCTGAAAGGAAAGAGAACAACAAGTGTGAACTGGGACAAACATTCTGGATTGCTACAACACTCTCAGAATCTCCACCATTAAAGCTCTGAAACCCATTAGCAGCAGCAATGTTGTAGACATTGGAACCAAAAGAGTCATATTCAGCTAAGTTATGCAATGTATTGACTGAGGAAAGCAAAAGACATGAGAGAAGCAGAAGACAATGAAACGCCTTTGATGAACCAAATGCTGCTCCTCTGTTAAACAATGAAAGATACGCAAAGTGTTAATTTGGGGGTTCGCCAAAAACATACTAGGAAACAAAAAAAAATTTACCCAAAAATGTTAAAGGGAAAACAAAATGAAATCTTGAAATAGTACCCAAAAAAAGAGAATGTCATTTGAAGAAATCAGAAGCAAGAAATAGTTCTATAAACAGAAAAAGGACATAGTTGATAGACTTTCAGGTTGATATCGAAACGAAAAACTCGAATTAAAGAGCATAAAAAGAGTAAACTAACATAAAAAGAGCATAAAACTCGAATTAAAGAGCAT